CTTCTGTGAAGGAAAAGATTTTTGTGTATGCTTTCTTTTTAAAATTACAGTACAGCACTTTCAAAGAAATACTCTAAACCATTATATAATGCATGCTTGTTTGGATAAGAAACACTCAGTACCATTAACTGAGAACTGTGGAAATCATTTACTCCAATATTTAGACTTTTCTCATTTTAAACCAAATTATTCAGAGACTATGCTCATGGAAAAATTGCCAAAAGTTTATAATCATTGTGTAAATTACTTTTCTCAAGATGTTCATTAGTCATCCTTTTTTAAAATCAAGCACATTTTTACTGAAAGACATTTTGGAAAATCTGCATATACACCAACAAACTTGCTCATTACATATGCAGCCTCATACTGTAGCTATCATTACTTTCTGATTGACTAGCTATTATGGCACATCTGACACTGTGTATATATAAAATGTTTACATGATGCAGCATGCACAGCCTTGAAGTAGCTAATGTACAATCGTACACACAAGAAGAGACTGTTTTTCTTACTGAACACTCACTTAAGCTTACACCCTTTAAATGTAGCTGAGTAGCTTTTATATGTAGCTTTATATCATCCTTTAACTGACTGTTTTAATGGAACAGTAATGTTCTTATTAAACAGTCATTGCTGATTGCTGATAATACAGGCCACATATGTTGCATTTCTCAGTAGTTTGTGGCCTGATGCTTTAGCATGTTTTGCCTTATATATGCTGCCATAAACTGTAGCTGCTGTTGTTTTCTGGATGACTACCTCCTATGATACAATGCATCTATGATATACTGTACATATAATCATATATAATAAAACTGATTGCTGCAGCATGGGTCATATATTGAACTGAATTATAGCCCCATGTACATAAGATACTGATTTTCTTACATGGAATGCACAATTTATGATGTGATTAAATGTATCGCACCTTAACCAACTGTTATAATTAAATATTAAAGAGTTCATTAAAAATTGACTACCAGTCGTAAATAGGCAACATATGTCCCATTGATTTCTCACTGCTGTTCAGTAATTTGTGTCAGACTGTCAGCAAGCATCTCTCAAAACCCAATCAATTTAAAGCCTCTCTTAGGGGAAGAATTTATTTTGCACATGCAAAGCAATAACAAATTGCCTGAATTCCATCATTCTTCTCATCCATCTCAGAGAACACATGAAAATCCATTGGACAAATGGTTACTCTTTCTAAACAGTCTATCTACAAAAATACATATCACCTACACAAATCTGTATATATATATATATATATATACAGTGTTGGAGGTAACGCATTACAAGTAATGCGAGTTACGTAATCAGATTACTTTTTCAAATAAGTAACGCAAGTTACTTTTTATATATATATATAAAACCAGTATACTTTTGAGGCGTCTGTCAATCATTTTGCGCGTTCACAACAGGCAGTCTATATATGGTAAACCGGAAGCTAAGAGCGCGATAGATTAATTATTTAAATTAGTTTTAGTGGTTTTAGTGAGATTTTATGCGAAATGTTCATGATTTGTTATCAGTCAATTAGTTTACACAGGCAAATCTCGACAAAAAGAAGAAGAAGAAGAGGAAGAAGAAGAAGAAGAAGAAGAAAGCTTTTTATCGCTGGGGGGAGCTGAGAGTTTCAAAGCGCTCGAAAACAAATGTTTTGCTTCTGCTTGTCAGATCGAAATACCATGGTTACTCCAAAGCTTCAGGCTTGTATGAGTGTGTAATTCGGTGGGTAAAATCTAAAATCGGGCGGAAGCTCTGTAACGGTTAGCGTCGCTTACAGTGTCTTTTTAGTGCAAAATACTGCTGGTTTAGTCGAGAATCTGCAGGCCACCAGTGGATTTCTTGTTCTTAACTCTTCCGCAAGGTGGCGCCAAAGCCTTACATTACATGTTTAGGGAGATTGTCATATATATATATATATATATATATATATAT